AAAAGGCCATTTTGAAAATTTGACCTCAGGTCATGACCTGACCGGAAAGGGTCATGTTGCATATCAGTCGATCCGTATTCCGTATCGTCGAACTGAATAAAATCGCCCAAACGAGGTCACTAGACCCTAGTGAGGTCACTTGACGTGACCTGGTGACCTGACCTTAAAAGCCCTGGGTAATATTTTAACAACATGTGCGGAAAAGATGTATGAACAGGTGTGCCAAAAACGGCGGCGCTCCGCGCCGATGTTTTGGTGATATCTGCGAAAAACCGCAGGACACATTGCCCAAAAAGACGGTAAATAACTTTTGAAAATACCCATCTCCAATTTTAGTGTTTTCTGGACCAAAATTTTGCGAGGAATCTTATGGTGTGTTCCCTGAGATCTGAAAAAAATTCATTTTGGAGATAGCACCTATTTTTTGAAAAAATAAATATTCGTCAGGCATAATAGTCAGATAAATTGAAAATATAATGAGTTAATTTTAGTAACAACACCAGAATGTGTCGAACATGAATTAGAGATGTATTTTAGCTGAGATGATACTATTATCTCAGCTAATATATCTGCGCATACATGTACATGAACTAGTACATTAACCCTCGCCGGCCGAGGGGGGGGGGCGGGTGCCGCCCCCCCCATAGGGTTTTTTCGCGATAGCTCCGAACACGCTGGCGATAGAGAGCTGAAACTTGGCATACCTGACCTTTGATCCAAGCCGCATCTTTTGACACCAACCGCATTTTTGGGTCAGGTCAGGTCACTGACCTATGACGTCATAAGTGAACCTCTGCACGGTCTTCAGATGTCGCAACTTCGCAACGCCCTCACTGCCAGAGGAGATGTCACAGGGAAATGAAACTTGCAGGATCTAGTATCCATTATGAGTCCCACAACTTGTATATCTCGGATTTTTCCTAAAGGTCATATGAGGTCAGGTCATTTTCGTGACCTCACCATTATAAGTCAATGGGGAAAAATGAAAACTGCTATTCTGGCGCCGGGAACGATCTCCAACTATCTCAAGCACACAGAATCGTGATTTTATGCACTCCTTGCAAGGTTAGATGCGTCACTTTTGCAATGTTGACCTTGCGTGACGTCATTTATGACGTCATCAAGGTCATATTAGTTTTTCGTCAATAACTCTTGATCAAATTGAGCTAGCGAGTCGGGAAAGCCACCAATGGACTCAGGAAGACCTGCCGAATCGAATGATATGCGACATGACCTCTTTCGACCAACTTCGTGACCTGGGGGTGCTGACCTGACCTTGACCTGAGGTCAACACCCCAAGTTGACCTGACCCGGACAAAAAGTATATCATTCGACGCGCCTGAGCGAGACGAACACGATGCTGCCAAAATCGGCGCTCTGCGCCCGTTTTTTGCGAAGTTATTCACCAAAAACTGAACCGTACCTTGGGGCACTTGACCTGACCTCAGAGGTCACCGGTTGACCTAGGACCTTAAAATCGGGTACCAATCTCTGCGTCTCGTAACGGCGCACACGCTCGTTTTTTCCGCGATGCGCTAGCTCCACCAGGGGCGAAACGGCGAGGGGGGGGTCGTACCCGCCCCCCCCCCCTCGGCCGGCGCGTATGTAGAAAACCAATAGGTCCGGCGAGGGTTAACCCTCGTCGGCCGAGAAGGGGTGGGACGGGACTCACTCGGGAGCCGCCTCATAGGTTTTTTCGCGATAGCTTAAAACACGCCTAGGGTAGACGGGGGACCATCAAAGCGTCCAAAACCGCAACATCCAAAACCGCAGCGTCCAAAGTACGCAACGTCCAAAATACGTCCAAAATCGGGTATATAGGGAGCATTCACAACGTCCAAAACAGAAACATCCAAAACCGCAACATCCAAAACGTATCATCCAAAACGCAACATACAAGGACGCATCATCCAAAGTACACAACATCCAAAGTAAGCACCCAGTAAACATGCCGACGTCGGCCCGACGTCGGGCCGAGGCTCGGCCCGACGTCGGCCCAACGTCGGTTCAACCTCGGCCCGACATCGGCTGGACGTCGGATATGCCCGCATGTTCCGACGTCGAACCGAAGTCCAGCCGACGTCGAGCCGACGTCGGGCCGAGGTCGTTTGCCGAGTTTGACGAGATCGTTTGTCGTTGGACCGATGGGGCCGACGTCGGCATGTTTATTGGGACAACGCGCCAAAAATATCAACCGGCGGTGGGATTCGAGCCCCCCAGTCGCCGACGTCGGCATGTTTACTGGGACAACACGCCAAAAGCATCAGCCGGCGATGGGATGCGAACCCCGTGTCATTTGAACGCGATGTTAGTGCGCTAATCACTACACCACGCAGCCAGCTATCGAAATTAGTTTGTTTTGTTGGGTTATGCCCTTTCGGTCTGACAAGACCATTTCAGAGCCGGAAGGATGATAGGATGGAGACATTGGTCTTCTTGGGGAGCACCCTGGGTCCAGTTCATATAGAGTCCCTGGTCCTATTGCTGTTACGTGACACTTATTGGAAAGGGCGACCCAACAATGGATTCATATAGCCACTCTTACACACTTGCACCAACGTTTCCCAAAGTGTCCCTTTGATAAGTGGCACTTTGGCAAAGTGACATTTGCCGACTGGCCTTTCTAAATGAACTGGGCCCGGCCCTGCAGTGAGTTGCCGGGGCTGAGCCTGACCAAAGGATAGGCCGAGCAGCCCCCAAGCACTCACCGCACCCGGCTACGGGCGAGCTCGGCTTACGGGCAATCCCAAATGGGATAAAGTTTCCCGTCCAGTCCGGATCAGGGGGTTGCGGCGTGGAGGAAGATTTGAGTTTCCTGAGGATATTTTGGATCCAGAAGCTCTTTATGAAACATAAAACATGTATTTTACATTATTTTAACGGTCAAAACAGCGGCCGATGTCGGTCCGACGTCGCCCCGACGTCGTCTGGACCTCAGCAATTGATCTCGGTCCGGCGTCGGCCCGACGTCGGCTGGACCTCGGCTGGACGTCGGTACATGCGGGCATATCCGACATCCAGCCGAAGTCGTGCCGAGGTTGGACCGACGTCGGGCCGACGTCGGCATGCCGATGCCGAGATGCCGACGTCACCCCGACGTCGGCCGACGTCGGGATGTTTACTGGGCAATATCCAAAGTACGCAACATCCAAAAACCGTTAGGTTAGGTTAGGCTAGGTTAGGTTAGGTTAGGTTTCCTTATCCCCGGTAGGCATAAATCAGTAGGTTAGGTTAGGTTAGGTTAGGTTAGGTTTCCTTATCCCTGGTAGGCAAAAATCAGTAGGTTAGGTTAGGTTGGGTTAGGGATAGACAAAAATCAGTAAGTTAGGTTAGGTTAGGTTAGGTTAGGTTAGGTTAGGTTAGATTAGTTTTGGATGTTGCGTGCCTTGGATGTCGTGGTCTTGGATGTTGTGGTTTTGGAGGTTACGTACTTTCGATGTTGCGTCTTTGGATGTTGCGTTTTTTGGATGACACGTTTTTGGACGTTGCGGTTTTGGTTGTTTCGGTTTTGGACTTTGTGAATGCCCCCTAGAAACCCGATTATGGACGTATTTTGGACGTTGCGTACTTTGGACGCTGCGGTTTTGGATGTTGCGTACTTTGGGTGCTGCGGTCTTGGACGCTTTGATACGGACCCAGGGTAGACAGCTGAAACTTGGCATCCCTAATCTTTTATTCAAGCTGGATTTTTTTTTCACACCAACCGCGTTTTCAGGTCAGGTCAGGTCATTGACCTATGACGTCATAAATGAACCTTTGCGAGGTCCTCAGATGTTGCAACTTTGCAACGCCCTCAGTGCCAGAGGAACTTTCGCAGGAAGATGAAACGTACAGGACGTAGTATCCTTCAGAGGTCTCACAACTTGTATATCTCGGATTTAACATAAATGTCACATGAGGTCAGGTCGTTCACGTGACCTGCACCATTATAAGTCAATGGGGGAAATATGATAACTGTTATTTTGGCGCCGGAAATGATCTAAAACAATCCCAAGCACATGAAATCGTGGTTTCATGATCGGACTTTACAATGAGTGCATGAAACCACGATTTCATGTGCTTGGGACAGTTTTAGATCATTTCTGGCGCCAAAATTACAGTTTTCATATTTCCCACATTGACTTACAATGGCGAGGTCACGTGACATAACTGACCTCATGTGACCTTTAGCAAAAATCCGATATATACAAGTTGTGAGACCTCCGGAGGATACTACGTCCTGTAAGTTTCATCTTCCTGTGAAAGTTTCTCTGGCACTGAGGGCGTTGCAAAGTTGCAACATCTGAGGACCGTGCAGAGGTTCATTGATGACGTCATAGGCCAGTGACCTGACCTGACCTGAAAGGGCGGTTGGTGTCAAAAGATCCAGCTTGATTAAAAGATTAAGTATACCGGGTTTCAGCAGTCTATCCTCGGCGTGTTTTGAGCTATCGCGAAAAACCCTATGAGGCGGCACTCACCCCACCCCTTCTCGGCCGGCGAGGGTTAATGTACTAGTTTATGTACATACATGTATGAGCAGATATAGTATCATCACAGCTAAACTATATCACTAATTCATGTTCGACACGTTCTTGTGCTGTTACAAATATTCACTCGTTATATTTTCAATTTATTTGAATTTTATGCATGACGAATATTTACTTTTCAAAAAATAGGTGCTATCTTCAAAATGGAAATTTTCAGATTTCGGGGACCACACCATCGGATTCCTCGCAAAATTTTGGTCCATAAAACACTAAAATTGGAGATGGGTATCTTCAAAAGTTATTTACCGTCTGTTGGGGCAATGTGAGGAGGGGGGAATGTTCACCCCCCCCCCGGCCGCCGCGCGGGTTTAGGGGTTGAAAAGGATAGGTCATACGATAAATCATAATAGGTTGGCTATTTGGTACGCCTAAGAAGATACCGGTCTAGAAATTTTACTACCATTCAACCGCTTCGTGATTGAATGAAATGACAATTGGTTCATCCATCCACACCTGACGCAAATGCAGACATTAAAGCGTAAATAATTATAATATATAATCTGCATACATTTGACATACCAAACCACGCAATATATCCACATGCACATATCCACACGCGACAAATCTCCCCGAACACCTCACTGCAGCAATAACGGAGGTCGATCAGGGTACGTAAAATACGGGTATCAACATAGTCCGATAAACATGAAGCATCAGTGGCACGTTATCGTCATGTGGGCTCCTGCGGTTCTGTCGCGTCACAAAGCCGTGGGCATGCTACCAAATACTCTGGTAACCCACCCTACCGAGGCATTTCGCGGAGACGTGCGAACACTGAAGTCGCCAAACATATAGACGCGGCGAAAAGATGTGGCCTCGAGCGCCTGGTGGACAAAAAAGTCTGTTCTCAACTGACAAAAAATCCTATACAAAATCGTAAGTTGTAACAATATGAATCACACACAGGATCTTAGGGAATATGATATACAATAAATTCACTCCTCCTCCATGATTTTGCGACATACTTTCTGAATGGGATATACCAGACTTAGCGATAAAATTTCTCATTAGACTTATTTCGGAATGATGTGGCTCGGTTGCATTATTTCCACGTGTTCAAGTAGACCATTTAAATGAGTACTTATCACAAATGTTACGGACATTTCTTTTTAAATGAGTTTGAAAAAAAAATGCTCGATCCACCTGTATTTAGTACGTAGCCATAATTCGCTAGCAGTCAATAGTCATGGTCCATGTCGGTGTCGTCTCTACAATAGCGAAATAAACAGGTTCACGGGCGGCCACCAGCGGCCTCTCCGGACCACTCCCTGTGTCAACTCGGCAGGGCTGCCGCCTCCGGGAGAGCGCCGGCCCACTGACCGTCCGTGAGAGCCGGCCGACTGACCAGCGGTGAGCGCCTCCGACTGACCAGCGGTGAGCGCCGTCCGTGAGCGCCGGCCGACTGACCAGCGGAGAGCGCCTCCGACTGACCAGCGGAGAGCGCCGTCCGACTCACGAGCTGCGCACCACCAGCGGGTTGGAGACGCGGAATATGGTCGGCAGCAGGGCCGACACGCTGGCAAACACCTCCTCAGAGATGGTCTGCGAACCACAGCGGCCGGTCACACCAGAGTATATGTATGTATAGAACATGGCAAACACCTCCCTCCTCAGAGATGGTCTGCGAACCACAGCGGCCGGTCACACATACAGGGTGTCCGGAAATTGATTGCACACTGTTTATATTCACGTATCTCGCACGTGCTCCCGCCAAACCGGTTAGGGAGGTTCGCGACCCCGCCCCCGGGCACCCCAGCGTGTCAGGTGATCACATGATCCAGCAGGTGACCTGACCCCAGCCGCAGTGAGTGGCCATGGTCGCTTTCCGAGAGGTAGTCTTCGCGCGCGGACCCCATATCGAGAATGGTGAGGGAGCACACTTTGACGACGCGCCACCGCGCGGTTGGGATGGTTGAAGCCGGGATGACGGTAGGCGATGTTGCCCGACAAGTGGATGTATCTCGCCTGCCCTTCATTACTGACTGGTTCTCGACCGCAGCGGTGCAGCACTGGAGAATCGCAAAGGCCGTGGGAGAAAAACTGTGCTGAACAGAGTGGCCAAAATCGTGCTCGCTAAGGCCGTGCTGAAAAGACGCCAATCGACGCAGAAACTGGCCAAAAAGCTGACTGAGAAGGGTCAAGCGGTGTCGAAGACCACTGCTCACAACTACACTGTAGATGGCCAAGTGCCTGGGTCTCAAACTGCTCAATCTGCGCCGGCAGCCAAAACTGGCCGAAGCCCAGAGGCGGAAGCGTCTGTTATTTGCCCGGGAGCAGAAGAACTGGACCATTCAGGACTGGCGGCGCGTCTTGTTCAGCAATGAGTGTGTGATCGAGATCATGCACCCGCTGAATCGCCAGAACGAGCGCGTCTGGGCGCACAGCAGTGCTGAAGTGCCTGCAATCGACACGGTGAAGCAGCCGCTGAAAATCATGGTCTGAGCCATGCCGAGTCATTAGGGCCTGTCAGAGCTCCACATCGTCCCCCGCGATCAGGCCGTGACGGCCCAGTACTACGTGAAAGAGTTCTGAAGAAGTCTGCAGCGTCCGCGATAAGCGGAAGATGCAGACGGGGGCGCCAACACAGGTCGAGCTGCTCCCGAAGATGTCCGAGGCGATCTTCCAGCAAGACGGTGCTTCAGCTCATCACGACGCCAGCACTCTACGGTGGTGCTGGGACAACCTCCCAGGGCTTTGGGACAAGGGTGTATGGCTGGGCAACAGCCCTGACCCGTCTCCCATCGAGAACTTGCGGGCTATCGTGCAGAGCGAGCTCGACATGATGGAGCCGGCTACCACCGAGCAGGCGCATATCAGGAACCTCCAGCGAGCGTGGCTCAGCATTAGTGCAGAGACACTGTATAACCTGATGTGTGGCATGCCCGACCGTATGAGGGAGTGTGTGCGTTTGGGTGGAGGGTATATCGGTAAATAAACCATGACCCATGCATGTTTTGTTTCCTTGTAAAGTGGACTAGAAGAGTGCGCAATCAATTTTCGGACACCCTGTACACAAAGCCACTGGAGAGCGAGAGTTTCAATAAACATTTGATTTAAATTTGTTAACTTATGGAAAATAAACAGGCTTAGAGTAATGTGTTTTTAATTCATAAGTTTCATCACAAACAGCCATTCAAAAAAAGTTTGGTTATTCACGCATCATCGTTTGAACCCTAGACACCTTTGCTTCTCAGAGGGATGCAAATAAAACAAATTCTTATCTTTGCATCTCAGAGGAGTGCGAGATAGAAATATCCTTGCACCGTAGCCCCATTGGCAAAAAAGAAAAACTTCTGCTAGAAAGATAGTGGTACCAACGCATTCGTCGTATCAAGACGCACCCAACAACATTTTGGTGGTCAGGTTTTATGTTGACCTCATGTGACCTAGACTGTTCTTTGGATGACCTTGACACACGATGGGCCCCATAGAATGCATTCGTAGCCACTGATCACGAATGTGGCATCCACTTTGTTCTAACAGGTCTCAGGTCTGCCCACTGGGCCGATGGATGGTGCGGGTGTCAGGTCTGACCTTTGGGACGATGAAGTGGATGGTCCGCGTTTCGGTGCCACCCCAGGACACCATCTCCATCATGAAGCCCTTGACGCATTTGAAGACGAGCTCGGCGCGCTTCATACACCAGGCCACAGTCATCTCCTGGCGGGGGCAGCACGTGCCGGGTCAGCGGGGTCACAGTAGGGGTCAGTGGGGTCACAGCAGGGGTCAGTGGGGTCACAGCAGGGGTCAGCGGGGTCACAGCAGGGGTCAGCGGGGTCACAGTAGGGATCAGCGGGGTCAGGGGTCACAGCAGGGGTCAGTGGGGTCCAGACATGTGCATGGATCCGAGAAAATGGGTCTTGGATCCGATCCCACGGATCCTGATCTTGGATCCGACGGGATCATACATCCAGCTCATTAATTTATCGAGAGATCCGTAGGGATCATAGATCAGAGTCTAATTTTTTGCTTGAGATCCAATGAGATCATAGCATAGATCCTCATTTATTTTTTGTCAACAGAATTATGGAAAAAAATACTTGCTGCAGCTCAAAAATGTTATGTTTTCAATTCATGGTGGGATCCGCTCAGATCATAGATCCATGTTGTTTTATCGTCAGATCCAATGAGATCATAGATCCAGGATAAATGTTTCACGCCGGATCCGGTGGAATCATAGATCCTAACCTTCAGTTTGCTTCGAGATCCACTGAGATCATAGATCCATCACTCGGATTGATGCATATGTCTGGCGGGGCCACAGCAGGGGTCAGCGGGGTCGTGGCAGGGGTGGCGGGGTCACAGCGGGGGTGGCTGGGCCGCAGCGGGGGTGGCGGGGCACTCAGTGTCGGCGTCGTCCCAGCAGCGTCCGCCGGCCCTCAGTGTCAGTGTCTGTGTCAGTGTCAGTGTCGGCGTCAGTGTCAGTGTCGGCGTCAGTATCAGTGTCACTGTCTGTGTCACTGTCAGTGTCGGCGTCAGTGTCAGTGTCAGTGTCGGCGTCTGTCAGTGTCAGAGTGTCGGTGTCAGTGTCGGTGTCGGTATCGGTGTGTCAGTGTCGGCGTCGGTGTCAGTGTCAGTGTCGGTGTCTGTCGGTGTCAGTGTCGGTGTCGGTGTGTCCGTGTCGGTGTCAGTGTCAGTGTCGGTGTCAGTGTCGGTGTCAGTGTCGGTATCAGTGTCGGTGTCAGACTCAGTGTCGGTGTAGGTGTCTGTCGGTGTCAGTGACAGTGTCTGTGTCGGTGTCAGTGTCACTGTCAGTGTCACTGTCGGTGTCAGTGTCGGTGTCTGTCAGTGTCGGTGTCAGTGTCAGTGTCGGCGTCTGTCAGTGTCAGTGTCGGTGTCAGTGTCGGCATCAGTGTCATACTCAGTGTCGGTGTAGGTGTCGGCGTCAGTGTCGGTGTCAGTGTCTGTGTCGGTGTCAGTCAGTGCCAGTGAGTGTCAGACTCAGTGTCGGTGTCAGTGTCGGTGTCAGTGTCAGTGTCGGTGTCAGTGTCGGCGTCGGCGTCGGTGTCAGTCAGTGCCAGTGTCAGTGTCAGACTCAGTGTCAGTGTCAGTGTCAGACTCAGTGTCGGTGTCTGTGCCTGTCTGTGTCAGTATCAGTGTAAGTGTCAGTGTCGGTATCAGTGTCAGTGTCGGTGTAAGTGTCGGTGTCGGTGTCCGCGTCTGTCGGTGTCAGTATCGGTGCCTGTCGGTGTCAGTGTCGGTGCCTGTCGGTGTCGGTGTTAGTGTCGGTGTCAGTGTCAGACTCAGTGTCAGTGTCAGTGTCGGTGTCAGTGTAGGTGTCGGTGTCGGTGTCTGTGCCTGTCTGTGCCGGTGTCAGTGACAGTGTCGGTGTCGGTGCCAGTGTCGGTGTCAGTGTCAGTGTCAGTGTCAGTGTCGGTGTCAGTGTAGGTGTCGGTGTCAGTGTCAGTGTCGGTGTCGGTGTCGGTGTCGGCGTCGTCTCACCTCGCTCATCTCGTGTGTGAGCAGCAGCGGCACGCTGAGCGTGGTGACGTCGCTCAGGAAGGCCACCTTGAGCACGTTGCGCAGCGCCAGGATGGTCGGGTGCCGAGAGTTGACGTCGCCGCGCAGGCTGTCCTGGGGGCAACACACACATTGCCCGATACCGGTCAGTCGCCTCCTCAGTCGAGCTGGTGTGTACATCCACCCGTTAACAAGCATGCCAATTCACAACGCTGCCATTTATTACGGAGCGAGCGAAGCGAGCGGAGTCTCATACTGAATTAAGGGAAAATCCTGAGTATGAGCGGCCGGCCGGTCGGCCGGCCGGTCGTGGGGACGCTCTTCAAAAGCTAATATCTTAGGAACGGGACATCCGATTGACAAGCGGTCTTCTTTACTGAATGTCACTTGGACGTAAAAGTTATGTGGTGTGATGGCCACCATGCGTTCTTGCCAACTACCGCACGTGGCGCGTGGTAAAGTTGGACATTTTTTA